GACAGCTTGAGGCTCCGTCTCAAAAAAAAAAAAAAAAAGAGTTTGAAGTTGCTATGAGCTTTGACACCAAGGCACTCTACCCCAGGACAAGAAAATGAGATACTATCCAAAAGAACCAAACAAACAAAGGACTTTGAGAGATACATCTTCTTCTAATTCTCATTTCAGAAGCGAAGAGAATGAAGCTCAGGAAATAAAAAAGTGACTTCCCCAGGGACCCATGAGTGCTATGGTAGTGCAGAGCTAAACCATTGAAGCCCAGTTTCTTCTCCTATTACGTCACCATCACTGCCTCTTCCCACCATTTAAACTAAGGGAAGGGCTCCGCACCTGTAGCTCTAGCAGCTGAGGTGCCAGCCACATATACCAGAGCTGGCGGGTTTGAAGCCGGCCCAGGCCTGCCAACAACAATGACAACTACAACCAAAAAATAGCCGGGCATTGTGGTGGGCAACTGTAGTCCCAGCTACTTGAGAAGCTGAGGCAAGAGAATCACTCAAGCCCAGGAGCTGGAGGTTGCTGTGAGCTGTGATGCCACGGAACTCTACCTAGGGTGACAGCTTGAGGCTCTGTCTCAAAAAATAAAAAGTAAATAAATAAACTAAGAGAGGGGGTTGGCACCTATAGCACAGTGGTTATGGTGCCAGCCACATACACCGAGGATTGCAGGTTTGAACTCAGCCCAGGCCAGCTAAACAATAATGACAACTGCAACAAAATATAGCTGGGTGTGTGGTGGCCGCCTATAGTCCCAGCTACTTGGGAGGCTGAAGCAAGAGAATTGCTTAAGCCCAAGAGTTGGAGGCTGCTGTGAGCTGTGACTCTACAGCACTCTACCAAGAGCGACTTAGAGAGACTCTGTCGCAAAAAAAAATTCATTAAATAAACAAACAAACAAAGGGAGGAGTGGAAAGGTTTATATTTTGTGTGTGTGTTTTTAAAGTCATGGGTAAGATGCTTACTCTTTTGAACCAGCTGATGGGCATGACTGCTCAGTTTGGAATGACTTTTCAATCATGGCTTAATTTCACTTTCAGTTTGAAGCTGCCTGGGCTCTAACAAACATTGCCTCTGGAACCTCTCAGCAAACCAAAATTGTCATTGACGCAGGGGCCGTCCCCATCTTTATAGAGCTGCTTAATTCAGACTTTGAGGATGTACAGGAACAGGTAATACATAGATTTGTCTTAATTCTTGATGGTACTTACAGTATAATAAAAATATGTATTTCACTTTTTTCTTTATTCTTGGTACAGTGCTATTAAAACCCTTGAAGTTGGCAGTGCCTGTGGCTCAGTGAGTGAGGCGCCAGCCCCATATTCCAAGGGTGGTGGGTTCAAACCCGGCCCCATCCAAACTGCAACAAAAAAATGGCCCAGTGTTGTGGCGGGCGCCTATAGTCCCAGCTACTCGGGAGGCTGAGGCAAGAGAATCACCTAAATCCAAGAGCTGGAGGTTGCTGTGAGCTGTGATGCCACAGCACTCTACTGAGGGTGACAAAGTAAGACTCTGTCTCTAAAAAAATAATAATAATAAAATAAAACAAAACCCCTTGAAATTTACTGAGTGATAGGAGTATCTTTTATTTATTGAGCCCCTCTGAAACACACTTAAGTTTATGCTAATGAAGTAACTCATTCTTGGTAGCTTTAGAATGGAACTGGTCACTAGAAGGACCAAACATAGGATTTAAAAGTGGGAAACCTTGGGTCTATCTATCTTTCTCTGGGGGGAGGGTAATAAAAATTCTTGAACAATGAGATTGGGAGAGTTTCCAGGTTGTGAACATGATGATGTGTTGGGAAGGTAACCTAGGGCATGAAAGCTCTGTGCCTCACCCACTACTCCCTGCATACCTTGTCCTACTTGCCCTCTGCATCTTTTCCATTTTGCTATTCTTGAGTTGTACCCTTTTAATAAACTGGTAAGTGTAAAGTAAAGTGATTTTTTGGGTTCATCTCTAGCAAATTATCAAACTGAGGAGGGTGATGAAGGGATCATGAAATTTATAGCTGGTTTATTAGAAGTACGGTTGACCTCCAGGACTTGAAACTGGTGTCTGAAGTGGGAGCAGTCTTGTGGGGCCTTAACCTGTGGGGCTTTGGCTAACTCCAGGAGTTAGTGTCAGAATTGAATTAAATTGTTGGACACACAACAATATTAAAGAATTGGTTATTGATGTGGGGAAAACTCCATACATTTGTTGTCGGAGTAGTAGTAGAATCAAAGACACAAATCATGGCAATAAACATACAGCTTTCAGTTCTCCTACTGAATTATTGCTGTTGGATAGAAGTGGGGAGTAGTAGTAAGATCTCTTCTCCCTTGCCACGTTTAGGATTAGTCCAAGGCATCTATAAGAATGCAAGTTTCTGGCCAGGCACAGTGGCTCATGTCTGTAATCCTAGCACTTTGGGAAGCCAAGGTGGGTGGACTGTTTGAGCTCACAAGTTTGAGCAAAAGCAAGATCCCATCTCTACTAAAAATAGACAAACTGGCTCAGTGCCTGTGGCTCAAGTGGCTAAGGCGCCAGCCACATACACCTAAGGTGGCGGGTTCGAATCCCCAGCCTGGGCCCGCCAGACAACA